TTTAAGATTTGCCAAGTAACTAAAACAATAACAGTGCAGTATATATATATATATATATATATATATATATATATAATAACAGTCAAACTATTTGCATCATAAATCAGTGTATTTATGATTGTAGTCTCAGCCTCAGAAGTCATGCCCGCGGACCTTTGGCTGAACGTCTGATTTATATGACATGAGCGCTTATCAGGATCAGCTAAACACTGGATTTTCAAAAGTATGTAAAGTTCACGGCATAGTCTCTTTAAAATACGTCTAAGAGTTTTACACACTGGTCTGTTATTGTGAGGACATTTCCACACCCCTAAACACGAGTCAGCACAAAATAAAACATGATTGATTGCTTTACCTATCAATCATATGGGCTCTTGGGCAGTCCATGGCCATTCAAAGCAGCCATGGTTCCCAGACCTTCATATGTATTTGTTCATTTCCAATTTGTATAATTAATTATTGGTTTTTACTTGTATTATCAGGCACTTCTATTAAATGCTTTATTAGCTAAAGGGACATATTTTGAGAATGTAATTGGATTAAATTGTCATGTTTATGCTATTCAAGGCAACCACAAGCCATCAGATTTCACAAAAAGATTGGAACACTTCCAAAAGCTCAACCCAGCTCCTCTATCCTAAAAAAATCCTTCCACCATTCTTGGTTTTTTATCTGTTCTTTTAAAGCTATGTCATCCTCTTACATAGTGGCCTTGGCCTTCTGTTTCATCTAAAACTCATCCTGTGCATCAGCCAGCTCTGACAAATCTGTTGAAGCCTCTTCCCACCCCCCACCACTTTGCCACTCACTCTGGCTGGGACTCCGGTCTTTGAAATTCCTGCCCTTGCTTCCAGCCCAGCTGACATCTTTCTCCAGACGGCATGAATTAAGATTATACAATAAGACACTTGATGCAGCAGTCAGGGAGCGCTCCTCTCATTGGCCCGGCTCCATGGTGCACAACTAGGGCAGCAGGAATTCTAAAAATACACAATGCATGCCTGTTCATTCCAATGGCAGTTGTCTTCTCCCCCAACCCAGGCACGCAGGCGATTGACAGGATTAAGAGAGGAGAATAAAGACAAGAGAAATGAGAGGAGAACTCCAGAGCCATGGCACAGGGCTTTTTTCCCCCTGACTTTCAGTGCCATGCAGCATGTAAGGAAAGGGATGGCTATGTATTGCAGCATTAATTGAGCTTGAAAAGAAAAAAAAATGTGATATTGTTTGTTGTTTTATTTTTATTGTTATTGTTGTTGCATGTATGTATACATGTGTAGTCTTTGCAACTTTACAGATCTTCTTTATGCACCAAGAGCTTGTAACACTCCAATGAGAAAGGAAAAATTTAAATCGCATCATATGACCCCTTTAACTTTGTTAATCACTGTAATAAATGGCCTTGTGGCTTATTACTGTATTAAAGAGTGTCTTTATTTGTGCATCTCAGTTTCCTGTTGAGAGTATTTGCATTATTGTTAATGTTTACACTTCTGTCATCCACTGGATTTCAAAGTCTTTTCTGAACTCTAGACCGCTAACATAATTGTTGCTGCCACTACCACCCCAGACTTCAGAATACTGTTGTTTCTTGAATTGATTTATCATGTTACACATTATTATGTGTTAACCAAAGATGACATGGCCAAAAAGATTGATGGAATTAAAAATCTAATTCCTGTGCTTCCCAATATATACCCCTTTCCTGTTGGCCAAACACACACACATACAGGGTCCCTGTTGGGTGGGAGTGTGGTGACCCCTGGGGTGACACAGAGCTCAGAGGTGAAGGAGGTTGACAGGCTGAGGTGTGATGTGACCTGGGGCTCTGACATGTGTGTGCTTATGTATGCGAGTGTCTTTTGTGGGGTGTCTGGGGTGGTGGAATCGTCCCTCTCTGCTCTGTCAGGGGAGGTCGTCTTGGGAGTTGGTTGAGGGTTAGATAGCGTTGTGTTTGCGGGTATCTGTCTGTCTTTCTGTCCATTTCTATGTGTGTTTGTGTGGACGGGTGGCTCGCAGTCCCCTCGACAGTGCTATGTCTGCGAAAGTAAACAACTCTAGATAAGCTGCGCTTCACAAGGACGCCAGCTGCAATACGCTAATCTCACTTGAATTTCTCTTCTATTCAGCATGTTTTATCTTATCTCCAGACCCCGCTTTTCCATGCATGCCTTTGTAACTTTTTTTAAACTCTGCACCCCATCTAAACAGTACAATTGTTTCCATAATACACATTCTGCCAGTATGCACTTATTGAAAACATCCAGTACATTATTAGCTTGAGGGTATGATGATTTTCTCAACTAAACATGCCTAATTAAACCTGTTTTAGCTGAAGACAAACACTCGGTGTTGAAGATTGAGTTGAGAGATGGTGTCTCAGGGGCCGGGATGATGGCATTGGGAGCTTTGGCAAGGTCACCAGGCCAAGAAAACACTCCTTGGAGGGCCACCAGTAGTGTGCCCGCTCCTGCCCTACAAAAACAGTCGAAACTGTCAATGTGACATGTCTCTAAGGTACCTAATTGCTTGCTCCTGTCTCCCTCCCCCCTTTTTTTCTTCTCACAGCACTGCTGTAACTGGGTGTCGAGTCCTGAGCCCCTGGATACTCTGGTGGACCCCATGCTTAACGATTGCCCTCGTGTTTCAGCAGGTAAGCAACCATATCTACACCACAATCCATATTTTGCATCTTTTACTCTTTTCACATTGGTAACCAAGTCTGTTTTTAGGACAAAGGTGTCCAATCCTGCTTCGAGAGGGCCACTATCTTGCAGAGTTTTGCTTAGATCCTAATTAAACAGACTTCAACATGCTAATGAAGGTCTTTAGATCACTGCAAACTTCCAGGTGTGTTGGGGCAGGTTGAAGCTAAAATCTGCAGGATATTGGCCCTCCAGAAGTAGGATTGGACACCCCTGCTGTAGGATAGCCTATAATAGCACTTGCATCAACGGGAAAACTTGCCAAATCAAGCTTTTTCTTTGTTATAATGGCCCCCTATAGATGGAATTGAACATAATTTGGTGTATTTATTTACAATTGGCTGATGTCTATCTGTACCACATTTGGTTAGTTTTAAACTTTGTGTTCAGAAGATATCTAATAGTCAATGTGTAGACAGGTCACAATGGACTCCAATGACTGACTAGTTGCTTTTGTGAGGTTGACTAATTTGTCATTTTCTTTATTGTTTATTTATTTATTTATTGGTGCTTTAAAGGGGTCATATGATGCGATTTCATTTTTTCCTTTCTCTTTGGAGTGTTACAAGCTCTTGGTGCATAAAGAAGATCTGTAAAGTTGCAAAGACTAAAGTCTCAAATCCAAAGAGATATTCTGTTAGATCCCCTTAAAAGCACCAGTGTTATAGCCAAACACATTCGACCGTTATGTCTCATCTTGCACTGTATTCCAACTTTTAAAATGTGTCTTGAGACCTTCTTTCCAATCTGTGAATGTAGGAATGTGTCATATGTAAAAATCCCCCTAAGAAAAATATTTATCTGGGTCAGGCACATTTAAAACTAGTCTAGTTAACTGGTCTGCATTAGTCTAAATATGCCGTGCTTCCTTAAAAGAGGTTAGTTGAGTTAGTTGCATGCCATATTGTTGTAGGCAGTTACTGATCCACAAATGATAAATATAAGGAATGCGATATCTGAACTGGTAGATGGCGCTCATCATAAAGTGATTGAATTATACTGTAAAGGCCACAACCTTTGAAATCCTAGTTCTTGCCTTTTTATTAAAATGTGTATATTTTAATCATGCATCAGTGTTTTCAAATAGTTTAGCTTGGCTGTTTTTAGTATATTGAGGCATGTCCTCAATTCCGGATTACGGCTGTAATCTATAATCCAGAGCAGGGAGATGATGAGGTTCACCTGCACTAAAGAGATGAAGAGCTGCCCATACTTTGACTTGGCTTTGTAAGATGTTATACTGTCTGACAGTGTTATAAAATGTTATTTGATATTTTCACGTGTGCTTTTGTAGCAAGTACAATACTTCCCTGATTTTACTGTAATCTGGATTTGGGGTGAGGGTGGGTTGGGTTTTATCCAAGTGAACCATCATTGAACTATGTGGGCTTTTGTGTTTGTGCATGGCATTGGTTCCGAGTTCAAATTTTTACCCATCTCCTACATTTATAGAGAGCGTGATGCAATCTTTTATGGATCTTGTTTTGAGTGTCCCTACAGTTATTTTTCTTCCCCAGCTCACTGCAGTCAGTCTCAGTTATGGTTATGAGTAGTGCAATATAAAATTATCATAAAATAATACAAATATTTTGTCATCACCGGCAAGATTTATCTCTTTGACCAATTAATTGGGGTTTGATGGTTTAATTTTCTAGCTGCAGTGCTAGAGGAGTTAGGGATTTGATTCTCACATTTTGGGCATTACATTTTTATGATTTATATTTTATTATTACTTATTAGTCCCCAAGGCATTTGACTATTGTCAGTATATTTGATTAATATACAAAATATTATTTTTTATTAATACACAAAATATTTTGTTAATTAATCCTCAAAAAATATTAGTTTTTTTTTTATTTTATTTTTTATTAAGAAAATAATTAGCATGTTTAAGATGTTTCTCTATAAGCACCACTGGCTGGTCCCCACAATTAAGCTGATTTTAGGTTTTGCGTGTCATTCCCACACACAGTCTTTTTTACACGGTGTGTGGTTATGTTTTCATGATAGCTATACTGGTTTTACTTGTGCAGGTGGGTTATGGCAAGACAGAGCAGCTTGTCAGTTACACTTAATCATCTATGAAGCCATGCTGGTACCGACTTACCATGCTGGTATTTTGTATGCTCATGTGTGTGGATATTATGCACATGTGTGTTTGGAAAGGGAAGGTCTTCTGACGACTCTGTTTTTTTGTTCCCAACGTGATAAAACTTGGAGCCTTCTTCCACCCGCCTGGATTTTTCCCTTTATTTTTTCTCTC